AAATGCCTCTTAGCTCTCTTGAGAGAAAGACAAAGGTCACCCTGGTTTTATAGTGCAGGCCGTACTAGCCTCAGGACTCCCCCAGCTCTCTGGAGCTCCAGGGTCCCAGGACCACTTGGTGAGAACTGCTGCTCTTAGGGAACGGTCTCAACTCTCTCCAAGAACGAGGGTCCTAGGGCCTTTTTGTGAGCTCCCTGGTTGTTGAGCCTCCATCTTTGTAGCAATGTCTCAAGGCTTGAACCTTCTCTCCCTCCCAGACCTCTCCCCAAGCCCCACTTCGCCACCTAGATGGGAGGCCACGTCTGGCCTGGCCTGGCACCAGCGCAGCTGTGTGCCAGGGCCCTGGCAGCTGGGAGCAGTGGTCTGCATCAGCATGAGATGGACTTTGTTTTTAAAGCCCTCCATTGAGAGAGATCGTGGACTGGGTTTAGAATCAGTTTTCATGGCTCCTCGTGAAAAGTTGTCATTTCCACCTTATCTTAGTGACATTAGAGCTCCCCTGGGCTAGTTGGAAGAAAATTAACCTTGAGTGGTGAGCACTGAAGTCATGTGGACCACAGTCATAGTGAGCCCCGAGCCCAGCACTTTTCTGTAGCCCTGACAGCAGGTCTTGGTGGTGGAGGTGGGGCCTAGTGTCCTGGGAAACCCCACCTGGTTGTGTCTCCATTAGCCTAGGGGCGTCACTTTAGCAAACGGGAACAAGATTAACCCACGTGTCCTCCTTCCCAGAATCTAGTGGGATAAAGTGGTGAGGTCACACTGCCAGGTACAAAGAATTTCTGTGATTCTGGTGTTTCAAGAACCAAGGTAGAATTGAAACAGAACTGTCAGCTCATTTGCAGGGAAATGTCATAGATCACATTAGCTAATTCTTTTAAAAGTTCCTTGTATCTTTCAAAGTGATGGTAACAAACGCCATGTGTACAACTAAGTGCAACCCCCAGAGTAATTTACCAGGGTAATGCTCCAGCTGACTTTTCAGGGAGGGTCGGAATTGCTGTGGGTGACTCATGGGGTGCCGTGCTCATGATTCCATCCCTTTATATAACTCAAGGACTGTTCATAACGACACAAAGGCCACACCATCACATTTTCCCTGGAGGAAAACAATGACAAAGTGAGGGGTGTGCCCGTGAGTGGTGTGTGTGGTGTGTGCGTGTGTGGAGGAAGTGGGGACAGCTTGCAGATGGGCAGGTGTATTCGGGAAGGATTTAATCTCCAGTTCTTCTAATGGAGCTAGTCTAAAATTATCCCCACTGATGGGGTAGCAGCCGAATCCTCTAAAGGGTTAACTGGAACTTGCCTTTGGAGATGGCTCTGTGACCAGGACCTGCCCTGGCTACGTGAGAGTGAGAGCAGGCAGGAGGGACCAGGCTCTCCCAGACCAAGGCACCGGGGCTGGAGTGGGGAAGCCTGGTGCTGACGTGCATCAGAAGATGAATGACCTGGCCCATTCACGACTGGAGACTCGCCTCTCTTACCTCCACTGTTACAGCGTAGGTTTGGTGGCTTCCGGGCACAGGTACCTGCGGGGTAGGCCAGAGAGCTGGCACATGGCTGCATGGAGCTAGCTCAGGGAGGCAGGTGGGGGAGCACTCCCCAGGCACCCAGGTGGGAAACCCTGAAGGTGGGCGAGAGGGAGGAAGCTGAGTGAGTGCTCATGTTGGATGTTAAAATACAACTTTATACTGTTGCTTCAGAAGTATTTAGAAAGATTTTATAGTTTGTTTTTGGTGACTTAATCATTCTATAGAATAAATATCTATAAAATCCCAATTAAATGGTGTCTAACGTTTAAAGCAGCAGTCTACAGGCAAGGCGCCAGCATTTTTTTTAAAGTATTTATGACAACATCTAGCATTTAAAATCAACCAGAAAATAGGCGTGATTCGGTTTAATATTTTATATGATTGGACATCTAAATCAATGTCTATATTTTATATTCCGTGTTTATTTAAAACCCTAATTCTACTGTGATGTTAATGGAGAGACTTTATATGGCTTTAATTGTGTTGGTTTATCTGCTGATAACCACAATTCAAAGTAAAACAGCATTTTGCTGATGGAGGGAGTAACAGATATGAAACATGGAAGAACAGATGATTTTACTGACTGTAAAGTGTTTATTCAAGAAGAAAATGTTCTTTTTTAGGGCCATGGAGAAAGTAACTTTTTCAAGGGTTTAGGAGTTTTCTGCACTCGGGGGACTAGTGCCTAGGGGATTTTTGGAGCAGCCTAAGCTACCTTTTAGCCTGATATGTGTGCTAGAAAATTTCATTATCATGTTTTGTGATATGTAATAATTCAGGGTGCTGTGCTTAAGCTTCATTTCAGTTTATGTTTGGAAACAACTGTTTCCCCCATTCCCGACCTGGCAGACACCCCGCCCTCTGCAGACCTCAGCCCTTCTCTCCTCTCCCACCCCACGTGAAAGAGTGAAGTCAGTTGCTGACTCGTAGAAGGTGTGTTTTCTCCTATGTGGAGCAAGCAAAATATATTCGTGATTTCTAAACCTCTGCTTTTGTGTCTGGGAAGAGTGACGCTTTCTCTCCTCCTCGGATGTCTCTTCAATGAATATGTTGTCGTTACCTGTCTTCGGGAGTGGCTTCCAGGCCACCTCTCAACCTTCTCCATGATTTATGTTGCAAACAAGTTCTCTGTCCTGTGTCTGTTCGCTGCACTACCCTAATCCTGTGTACCACAGAAGACATGCTGGAGACAGTTTTCGTTTTTATTATACAATTATGTTATATGTGTATTTCAGTGAAATGTCAACCCGTCAACAGAGGATGATGTTAAAAATTATCCAAATAAATAGTTTTCTATTTCTTTTCATCAGACCTAGTCTAATCAGTTGAATGACAATAAGTAGGGTCTGCTGTTGTTATCGGCACTTGTGCTTGCTCCTGTCCAGGCGGCCCTGCAGTGGGGGTTAATGTACATAATGGGCGCGGGGTCACCAGTGTTTATTTTGTGGGGCTGGCAGCGGGTGTGTTGAGCCTGGTCTCTGCCTCGTTTGGGCGCCTCAGATGCGTAGCAGCCCTCTCTCCCTGGCAATCTCAAGTCAGACTGTGAAACCCTGGCTTGGCGCCCCTCGCCTTGGTAACCGTGCCCAAGGAAACACTGCATGAATGAACCGCAGCTGTTTAATATTGCTGGGCACAGCCCTCCTTTCCGGCGCTCTTACTCACTGCCATTAAGAGTGTCCCTCTGCTCTTTCCAAGGGAATGGAAAGGTGGGTCCATCTCTGAGCTGAAAGATCCCTCAGGTTCGGATGTGTCGGTCCTGGGCATCCCGAGAGAGGGCAAAGTGTGTGTGTGTGTGTCTGTGTGTTTGTGTGTTTGTGTGGTGTACTTCCGTGCATGTACATGTGTGCTTGTCCTGTTTCTGTGGCCACATGGACAGGAAAGCAGGAAGCAACCCCACACACAACCCCCAACCATCTGCTCTGGATTTGCGCTGGGGCGTGGGACTCTCCCCTCCAGGACCCTTGAAGCTCTGAATCCAGGCAGCTCTGTCACCCTCACAGTTCATGACATGGAAAGACCTGCTGCTCCCCGCTTCAGAGAATGGTTCAAGCCAGACCCCAGCTTGCATGCCCTTTATGCAGGATCACTTCAGAGGCAGTGTTCCCAGCGCCTCTGGGGGAGCCCCCGTCTGATACTGCACTTTAGCTCAATATCTGCTGAAGACAGTTCTGGGCGTCCAGTAACAGGCCCCAGTACCCCTTCCTGCCCCTGCACTGCTGTGTGCCATGTGTAAGTCATGGCATGCCGGTGTCCGCCCACTGCTGGGCTTGTGGAGAGAGGAGAGGGCTCACGCCCACAGAGCGCCCTGAGGCTGGGGTGTTGGCTCCAGATGGAGGCCTGCACAGCCACCTGCTCGGGTGCTTGCTCACCAAGGCAGAGCTTGTAAACAGACCACCAGTAGATGAGGGGGTGCTGCTCGGATACAGGGCAGGTGGCCTCAGCTGGGGCCAGAGAGGAGAGGACTCTTTCTGATGCAGGTTGTTTTGCAGAAAATGATAACTGTTCTGTCCCTGAGTGTTTAAGTCAGCATGCTGCTATTCTTCAAATTAGTGATCCAGGAAATCATCTCAGAGTTAAGTCATCTTCCCTGGATATAGTTCAAAGCCTCTACACTGTTACCCTGAGAAAGTCAAGGAACAAGGCAAGGGCTTCTCGCAGGCTGTCTGAGGGTCCCTGGGGCCTCAGGTGAGAGTGGTCAGCTGTGAGGGCATTGGGGAGATGTGGAATGTTTGTGAGGGTGCTGGTCACCTGGTGGGCCTGGCACCCCCTCCAGAGGCTGGCGAGCCCCTTTCAGTGTGTGTGGTCTACAAGAGGACCTGGCATCGCTCAGTGTCCAGGCCAGGTCACCACCGTGGCCGCGAGAGCGGGCCCTGCACCACGGCCGGGTCTGTGTGCGTGTCCTCTTCTGTCATGTCCCGAGTGTGCTAGTGGCTGCGGTGTGTGGTGTCACTCCCTCATTCCCTCAGCTTTTAGCAGAACCAGCTGCCCTGGTGGCTGTGTGGTCTGCTTTCCCTCTGGTACCTGCACCGGTAGTCTCCTCGTCCTGGACCCAGCCAGTGAGTCCCTGCCACCCTCCTGTGGGGCAGCCAGAGGCGCTCCTTACCTGTATGGTCTCTGGGCGACCATGAGCTCTAAGCTGTCTTTCATTCAGCTGTCACTTCAACATGGGCATGCTCTTGGCCATGACAGACCCTAGTCCCAGTAACCACGCACTGTTCCCTGCAAATGGGAATGTCAGTGGTTGGAGGTTATGTGCCACAAGTTCCCCCTCTTAGGGCCCTCCTGAATTCCTGACCACACCCAACAGCCCTGAGGCTGTGGGATGGTGATGTTCAAACAAGTCAGCTCCCTGGGTTTCCCTTTGAAGAAACATCCCCTCCCACAGCTGAATCCAGTGGGAACAAAGCCAGGACCCAGACGGGCCCAAGGCACCCTGTTATCTAATCTGTTTTGCCATCTTCATTGATCTAGGCGGGGTTAAGGACACTGCACGACATTGGGCCAGAAATCCGGCGGGCTATATCATGTGATTTGCAAGATGACGAGACTGAGGACACAAAACGCGAAGAAGAAGAAGATGTGTTCAAAGTAATTATTCCAAGACTAGCTACACACTGGCCATTTGGAAGTAGTGGGCAGGCCTCCAAGTTGTACAGTCGAACCACGAAAGAACTTGGAGAATACGAAGCAGCTCCAGGGCCTAGAGGGGCTTGCAGGCAAACCCTCCCCACTCAGCAGCATCTTTTTCTAGGCCTGCTCCTTCCCTGAGCTGGCCCCTAGGCCCCTCTCTGACACCTTCAGAGGAGCTTGACCACGGCCACTTCCTGGCACGGCTTAGCCTTTTGGGTCCTTCTAGCAGCAGCCTGTCCACACTACCCCCTTCTTCCCTGGGCAGCTCTTTGATCTCCAGCCAGCCCTCAGCCTTCTGGCCCCCCGACCCAGAGAGCATGCCCACTGCCCAGCCTCAACTACCGGGGCTGCCAACCAGCTGCCTGGTATGTCCCTGCAACTTGGAGCGACTTGAAGAGCCACGAGAGTGACAGCCAGGAGCTTGCTCCCCAGCTCAGGAATCGGGTAACTTCCTCATTTCAAGGGGGACCAACTGCCACACAGCCACACTAACCCCATATCACTGAGACACTCAGATTGTTTTGCAGAGATCCTTCGGAGCTTACCTAGAATTTGTATTTCATGTAGAAAGAATTACCTAACATAGCTAGCGTGCATCAAATACTTGTTAAATTACCTGGTGTTGTCTCCCATTATTTTGCAGAGAAATGGTGCCCTGCTTGGAAACCATGTCAATCATGTTAATAGTGATAGGAGAGATTCCCTTCAGCAGACCAATACCACCCACCGTCCCCTGCATGTCCAAAGGCCTTCAATACCACCTGCAAGTGATATTGAGAAACCGCTGTTTCCTCCAGCAGGAAATTCGGTGTGTCATAACCATCATAACCATAATTCCATAGGAAAGCAAGTTCCCAGCTCAACAAATGCCAATCTCAATAATGCCAATATGTCCAAAGCTGCCCCTGGAAAGCGGCCCAGCATTGGGAATCTTGAGCATGTGTCTGAAAATGGGCATCATTCCTCCCACAAGCATGACCGTGAACCTCAAAGAAGGTCCAGTATTAAAAGGTAAAACCTTTACATCGTGTTTGCACTCAGTACTGTAGTGTCTGCCCACGGAGGTTCTAATGCCCGATGCTCTGGCACGTGTGGGAGCTCCCTGTGGGCATCTGCTTTAGAATTGGGAACATGCCACGCCACGCCCTCTTGGGCAGTTGACCACGGGCCGAGCCTAAGGGTGGAGGGGTCATCTGCCTCCCGTGTCCCGCTCTGTGGAGAGCCCCTTAAAATGGGAGTGCCACAGACTCGCGCTCTCCAGTTATGCCAGCACACTCTGTGACAGGGACCGGCAAGTTTTTTCTTACCATAAAGGACCTAGTTAAATTTCATTTGTGGTCACTAAAAAGGTGAACTTTGTATATTCATGTGAAGAAATGTTTTTCTTCTTTGAATTTTTTTTCAATTCCATAAAAATGTTAGCTTGTGGGCCAGAGAAAAGCAGGGGGTTGGCTGTGTGAGCCGTGGCTTATAGCTTGCCCGGCCCGCTCTAGGAAGTAGGCTGACGTTTCGAATTTTGTTGGAAGTGTTTAACTTTGATCTTCTCCCTCCCTCCCATCTTATGCCTTTCCTGGATAGAACGCGCTATTATGAAACTTACATTAGGTATGTGCTTGCTGCCTGTGTTTCTGTGTTAAAAACTGTGCATTGTGTGACCAACTGGCCTCTCTGACTACTAGTAATAGGAATTCTTTGAACCAGTGAGGGTACTGGTGTTTCGAGCTATAAACTCAGTACGTAGTGATAGTTGCTTCTCTCCAAGCAAAGGACTTTTGAGGTCCAAAGACACAAAGACCGTATTACTATCCACTGGCCTACGCCAGGCAGCCCCTAGGTGAGCCCTTGCAGAGCTCACAGCAGTGCTGGGAGAGTCTACCATGCACTTAGTTATAGCAGATAAACTGGTAGCAACTTGAGCCTAAAGAGGGCAGGGCAGGAGAGAGTGAAGAAATTAGAGAAAGCAAAGGCCCCTCCCTCTTGGAGACTGATGAAGTCACAGAGCTTGGCTACTTTCCCCAAAGAGTGAGGCCAGGACTGAGGGCCAGGACTGTTATAATAGTCCTGGGCTGAGGAGTGTTAGAAAAGGGTGGTCAGGAGGGTCTCTCCTAGGACATTGTATCCCAAGTTCCCATCATCCTGGCTGGGTCAGATGCAGTGGGGAAGTCGGTGGTAAAGGATCCTCTTGGTGTCAGGCTCTGAATTCATGTTGGGCCAGGATAGCAGAGTGGGGGCCAGAGGAGATGGCCTGAGGCCCAGGCTCTCTTCCCCCCTCATCTCAGGTCTCTAGGGCCATTTTCTTGCTCTGGGTGCCTAAACTACATCTACTCCTTTAGTACCAATGCCTCTGTTTACAATGGTGTGGCACTGTCCAGGGTACTGAACCCCCAGCTCCTGCACAGCTTGTGTGCGTGCACACAGCATCCATTTCCGTAGGTTTTAATTATTCCAGCCCCTCTTGAGGTAGATACCCAGGGGAGAAGCAGCAGCACTGTGGGCAGGACTGCCAGCTCTAGGCTGAGGCCACGGGATTGTCTGTCCCCGGCCTGGCACCCAGATCCTCTTTCCCGACCACAGATCCGACTCAGGAGATGAGCAGTTCCCAACTATTTGCCGGGAAGACCCGGAGATACACGGCTACTTCAGGGACCCCCGCTGCTTGGGGGAGCAGGAGTATTTCAGCAGTGAGGAGGGCTACGAGGACGACAGCTCGCCTACTGGGAGCAGGTGAGGAACCCTGTGGTACAGGCTAACATGAGGACCTCTCGCTGTTTCCTCAGGGCACACATGGGCAACCCTGGAGAGCAAATCAGGAGCACAAACTCCAGGCCAGGGGACAAGACAGGGGGAGAGTGGGCCAGAGAGAAGCAGGGGAAAATCTCTTTCTTCAGCCCTCTTGAGAGGCCTGTGAGACCTTCTAGTAAAGACTCAGCAACATGGGCAGCCTTGTGGTGGTCTCACCCCTTTCCATCAGCCCCCTGCCTCCTGAGAGCTCCATTTGAACTTTGTGGCTGCTGAGTGCTTAGACCTGGGGGCTCTGTCTGCACAGCAGCTCAGCCACTCTTCAGTGTAGCCTAGAGACCAGTGCCTGCTTCCTGTTCCCACCCATGGCCCCTCCTGTAGACAAGGGGGGAGTCAGAGCTGCATTGCCCAGCATAGGCACCTCTCCAGGCTTCTGTCCTAAAGAAAGAATTTTGAGACCCTCCCTGGTGGCGTAAGGGGTTAAGTGCAGCACTGTGAAGATGTCTGCAGCCACTGCAGCATGAGTTCCATCCCAGCCAGGGAGCTGACCCATGTGGCGTGGCAGACCTCTCCTGCATCGCCCGCGGCTCCCCTCAGCAGTGTACTTTGTCCATCTGCCTGTTCTGCTCCCCACTCTGTGTCTGCTGAATCCTTTCACTCCCTGCACCTCTGGCCTGTACCCAGTTCTTGGATGAACAGATAAATATTTTTTTTAAAGGCATTTTGAGGTTAAGATGGACACTTTGCTTTAGGACACACAGCAGGCTGGATGGGGGACAGAAGTCACCTGCCATCCTCTTTGTAAACTGCATCTCCCCTTGACCAGGGAGGGAGGCCCATCAAAGTGGAAGCGATATTTCTACTGCATGGGAAAGGTCACTCTGACGTCTGAGCTGTTCGTGAACATGGATCTCTCCTTTCCAGGCCAGCCAGGTCCTGCCACGGCCCCTACCCCAGAAGTTCCTCAGCCCCTCTCAGGGCCTGACTTCTGGAACCACTGATTTGGAAACAAATGGAATCTGAGTTTCTTTTTTCTTACGCAGTCTGTGCTGACCTAGTTCCAAAGCCTGCGCTCCAGAGTCCTGCTTCTCATTTCCCTGACTGGAATTGAAATGACACCCCCTACCCCCACCTCCCCTGAGTACCTCCCTTCCAGTGCTGCCATCTGTGTGCCTGGTACTTGTCAAGCTCCTTGGAGGTGGAGACTGTGCATCCTCCCAGGCCAGCCCTGGGCAAAGGGCAGGCAGGGGAGGGATCTAAAGTGAGCAGTTGCAATCCACATCTCAGCTTGGCCGAGGCTGCCCCAGCGAGGGCACTACCAGCAGCTCACTCATCACAGCCTGGCCATCCTGAATCATCTGTAGTGGCTCTTGCCCTCCATCTAGAATCTTCCATAAAGCTGAGGACTAATGCCTATTCTCAGTTGGCCCTGCTGGTCCAGGAGAGGTGGAGAGAGGACTGTGGATGCAGGTCTGTTATAGCTCAGGGACAGAGCCAGTTAACTTGGACCACCCATGTGCTCACTCTCGCTCTCTCTCTCTCTCTCTGCTTCTGGACACCAGACGAAACTATGGCTACTACAACCGATACCCAGGCAGCACCTTGGACTTTGAGCGGCCCCGGGGCTACCACCACCCCCAAGGCTTCCTAGAGGACGACGACGCGCCTGTTTGCTATGATTCCCGGAGATCCCCAAGGAGACGCCTTCTACCTCCCACCCCAACATGTGAGGCCAGGTTTTTTAATTTTAGGTGAAGCTTCCCAGACAGTGGCACCTCCTTGATTTCTGTGCTGGGGGCGTGAGACTGGTGTGGTCCTGCATGTCAGGGCTCTTTAGTCTTCGAGTCCAGCGCCCTGGGCGGAAACACCCAGCTCTCCACCCTTCCCAGCGGTGCACCAGACAGCAGGGCTCAGCCCACTCCAGCTGTTCTCCACTCTGTGCTCCTAGAATTGCACAGTACGTGGCATCTACTGAGGGGCTTCTTGGGCACGTGGTCACTGCCTGGAGCCTGGTCCCTCCTGGAAGGCAGGCGAGGTGGGTGCCGGGAGTTGCCAGGTCCACTCTGTGGACAGGCTGACCTTCAGAGAGAAGGATCAACCCAGGGGCAGACCTGGACTGGCACCCAGGCCTGGCCTGTCTTACAAAGCCCTACATTGAACCTCTGGGGGGGGGGGGGCGGGGCTGGGATCCTTGGTGCCCGTCTCACCTCAGTCTCCACCACGGGTGCTCTCCTTCCTTGCCTCTTTTCCATCTTTTGCCTCACCTTTGCCTCAATCTGCCAGTGACTTCTGCTCACGGGACAGGCTTGGGATTTGGTGCTGACCTCGAGGGCCAGTGTTCCCGTCTTGGGGCCAGGAAAGTCCCATCCTGAGAAGGAACAGGGGCTGGCTGCTCCCCCCACCTGATTGTCTTGCCAAAGTGGTATAACCAGCTGCTACCTGGAGACCTGGGTACCTGTAAGGAATTCACACCAGGGAAAGAAACGTAGCAGCGGCCCTGGCTCAGCAGTTGATTTTGGACATATGGGCATTGTGATCATGGTTTAAATGGGCATTTCTGGGAAGCACAGTTTTGAGCAGGAGTTGATGAGTCCCTTCATGCACAGCAGAGTGGCTGGCTGGCCCCAGGCCCTGTGCCTAGCCCCAGCTGTCCGTCCGATGGGGTGTGTACTCAGCCCCACTTCCATGGTTAATATTTCATTGCTTAGCCTCAGGCATGTGCTGCCAAGCAGCATCTCTGGTCCCCATAAACACTGGGTGGCACATGGGCAGGTGAGGCAGGTGAGGCTCCTTGCACGTGTGAGCCCTCCGCCGGGCAACTGCAGTGATGCCCACGGGGAGTGAGGGACCTGGGTGGCAGGTAAGAGGTGGCCTCTTGGTTTTTAAGGACAGGTAAATGGTTTTATCTGTTTTTATCTGGTTTGATGTTTTGCTGCCCATCCGTTCAGATGTGGGCAGGGAGAACACAGGACTCCTCGGCCTCTCGTCTCAGCTCTGTGCTCTCAGCTCTGGGGCTGGAGGGGGTGGTTACCGCCTTCCTCAGAGACTGCTGTGCAGAGTGAGTGAGGACGTGTGTGCACGTGAGCCCATTTCAACACTAAAGGATTTGAATGGGTTGGCATGAGGGCGTGGTGGTTTTCTTTCCCTCGTTCGGCAATCTGCTCTAGGGTCCTAGAGGTTGTGCTGGCAGGGAGGCTTATCCTGCTGGGAGTGCGTGGAGCACGGCAGGAAGACCGGTAAGGCTGGTGCACTGTGCAGCTTGCCTGCATGGGCAAGTCGGGGCACACTGGACCCACACTGGGGCCGGACACTGTTTGCTTCTCCCTATTTGCTATCGGTTGGTCAAAGGCTTGGCCTGGTCTTCATGCAGCCTGGTGGTCACAGAACCCAGGAGAAGGCCTTTGGTCTGTGCTTGGAGACCCAGATTGGGGCCTATTCTCCTGCGCCTGGTACCTTTTGAAGTCACAATTTCCGGGTTTCTTGCCACTTAACCTGAGTATACACCTCTTTTCGGTGACTATAAGCAAGACAACTGTGGTCTTCAAAGTTGCAGGCGTTTCTGTTTGTTGAAGCTGGAGGGTCTTTCCAGCAAAGGAATTTGCTTGTTTCCTGGTTGAGCTGAGAGGGCCAGTAGCCAATCACTGCCTTTGAGACAGAGACGCCAGTGAGATGTTGTGTCCACCAGAGACACTGAGGATGTCTGGGAGGCAAGAGTGGAGCAGCCAGCCAGTGTCTGTGGTGGTGTCTGCATTGTGTTCTTGAACCCACAGCACGTAGGTCCAGGGGCTTCGAGTCAGGACACTTCCCTCTGGCCACGTTTAGCTCCTGCCCCTGAGAACAGGCACAGCATTGAAAAGAAATCAACTTGAACTTTTTTAAAGCATGCTGTGTTGGGGCTTCTTCCTTTATCCCTCCCTCTCAAAGTTCCGCACTCCCACTACCCAGTTCCCTTCCTTGGACGGGTCACTGAACACGCAGTGGGCGCCCCAACCCCCGAGGCCTGGTGTCCTGACAACGCGTTTCACATTGCGCTTTGACTCCTTAGCCCACCGGACATCCTCCTTCAACTTCGAGTGCCTGCGCCGGCAGAGCAGCCAGGAGGACGTCCCCCCCTCCCCAGCCTTCCCCCACCGCACAGCCCTGCCTCTGCACCTGATGCAGCAACAGGTGAGCCAGCCCCTGGCCTCGGCTGGGAGCCCCGGCCGCCCTGCATGGGACACACCCTCGGAAGCCCTCTTTCCCTTGTCTGCCAGCCAGGGAGGGAAGGAGAAAGTCTTCACACACACGCTGCTTCGTCCTCTAACCCTGCCCAGTCGATGAGGTCACAAACACCATCTTACACATAAGCAAACATCAAAGCGGAGAGGGGAGTGACCGGGCTGACCTTTGAGTCCGAGGCTGCCAGCTGGGCTCTTGGCCTAGATGCCCACGGTCATTTCTCCCCCACGTCTCTCCTCTGCTCCCAAGACACAGCCTGATGGTGACCTCTTGACAGATTCTGAATTTCCACCGCCACCTTTGATTTGCTCCGAGCTGTTCCTTTATTAAAACATGCCTGAGCCCACTGTGGTTACTGGGGTGGTATCACCCGACCCTGCCTGCAAGGGGTGTGCATCCAGGGAGAAGGCCCGAGCCCTCTCGTCTAGGCTGTGCCTTAACGGACAGCAGTATGGGCTTCTTCTGTTCTGCAAAGAGCACCTCAGATATGCTGTCTGCTTAGGTGTGTGCATTGCAGGGGGGTGAGAGGGAGGAGCGAGGAGGATCACAACAAGTGCAGGCCCTGGCCTGGGGGTCTGCGGAGCAGGCTTCTCCCAGCAGGACTCTTAACTTGCAGGGCCTGACATTCTAGCTGCCCATTCACCTTTTCAGTCTCCGCCTTCAGTTTCTTTTCGCTTCCTGTCTGTTTTGCTTGATGGTGGCAAGCAGACATAGCTGTCTACAGACTCGCGGGTGGCAGGCCCTTGCCCTCCCCGGCCTGGTCTGATGGGGCTCACATCTGTCCTCATGTGTCTGCACTGCCCCTCAGTCACCTTAGCAGTTTGACCAGGGCCCTGTGCTGGTCAGTCCTGTGTGCTCCTGGGGCCGGGCCTCAGTGTGCCCTCTGCTGCCTGGGGGTGCAGGGCAGTTTGGCTGCAGGGCAGCGGGGCTTTCCTCATGCTTCAGGGCAAACTGAGGCGGCGTGTGGCTCTGCACCAGGGAAGAGAGAACCATGTCGCGCCCTTGCTGGTGCTGGCTCTCACAGGCCCGCCCTGAATTCACATCCATAGTTGAGCCCAGAATGAACTGATAGGATGTTCAAACACCAGTGCTGTGTGTCTTCCCTGATTACTTCATTTCAGAATTTGCAGCTGACTCCTACGTGGGCACAGTCATAGGAAATGCCTCCTGGGTTGGGGGGAGAAAGAAAATGATGTTGTAAAAAGCCGGATTTTTGCTTCCAATTATTTAATTTACTCACTGCTAGTGTCTGAGGCTGTCTCTATAAAACAGTTCGACTGTTTTATAAAAGCCCATACTGCTGTCCGTAAGGCACAGCCTAGACGAGTGGGCTCGGGCCTTCTCCCTGGGTGCACACCCCTTGCAGGCAGGGTCGGGTGAGGCCACCCCAGTAACCAAGTGAGTCTGACTTGGTCTGCTTGAAGGAAGCCTGAAGCCCGGACCTCTGGTCCCCCCACTTCCTCCGTCTCCTCAGATCATGGCAGTTGCAGGCCTGGATTCAAGTAAAGCCCAGAAGTACTCGCCCAGCCACTCCACTCGCTCTTGGGCCACCCCTCCGGCGACCCCTCCGTATCGGGACTGGACGCCGTGCTACACACCCCTGATCCAGGTCGAGCGGTCCGAGGCCCTGGACCAGGTCAACGGTAGCCTGCCATCCCTGCACCGCAGCTCGTGGTACACGGATGAGCCTGGCATCTCCTATCGGACTTTCACACCAGCCAGCCTGACTGTCCCCAGCAGCTTCCGAAATAAAAACAGCGACAAGCAGAGGAGCGCAGACAGCTTGGTGGAGGCCGTGAGTATGACCCATGGGAGGGCAGCGTGGGCCCCGCGGCAGTGGAGCTGTGGCGAGCCCACACCGCAGCAGTGTGCGGTGGCTCTGCGGGCAGCAGGCTCCGGGGTTCCGTGGCCTGTGGCCCTGGACACCGCCACTGCATAGCTATGTGGGTGCCACCTAAGGCGTGAATCCAGAAACTGGCCGGCACTGCCCCGCCCCAATTAGCTGTACCAGTATTGTATGTGTTGTCCCATGTATACTAAAATATTTTGCCCCAGTGGGTTTCCTCAATCTTGTTGGACCACATACAACATAAAGGCCCAAGTTATTTCGCTACACTTAGTCATTGCGTATGAGGAGGGCTAGAAAACATGATTGCCTGAATCTCAAAAGCATATTGTGTGGTAAGTGCTTGAAGGGGGTCCCATCACAGCCCCCATCAAAGCCATACAGTGCATTCATTGATGTTTCCTGTGCAGGTCCTGATATCTGAAGGCTTGGGCCGGTACGCAAGGGACCCAAAATTTGTGTCTGCGACAAAATATGAAATCGCCGATGCCTGTGACCTCACCATCGACGAGATGGAGAGCGCAGCCAGCAACCTGCTGAATGGGAACATGCGTGGCCGGGCCAACGGGGACCTGGGCCCCCTCTCACACCGGCAGGACTATGAGCTGCAGGACTTCGGGCCTGGCTACAGCGATGAAGAGCCAGACCCTGGGAGAGAGGAGGAGGACCTGGCGGATGAGATGATATGCATCACCACCCTGTAGCCCAGGGCGGGCACAAGGCCAGGGAAAAAGTGCCTCGTAGTTAGGAAAGCTTAGGCACTACTAGTATGGAGTCCACATTCAATTAGACTTTCGTACAGGTGATGTCACGCCTCCAGGAAGCCATAAACCTGGTAGGGAGCAGCCGTGCACCTCGTGCTCGGCCCCAGCTGTGGGAAACAGTAGCCCAACCCTCCTGGAGAGGAGCAGCAAGGAAGTGTGGCAAGCCCTGCCTGCTTGCCCAGCCTGCACCGGGGCACTCCCCCATGCCCACCTGCCGGCAGGCACAATGGGAAAGGTTAAAGGTGATGACGACGATCACCATACCTGTGTCATTACCTCAGCCATCAGTCTAGCATATCAGACATTCACTGGGCCCAGCATATCCATTTTTAACCCCTTCCTCAATACACTGCTTCCTGGTTCCTGTTTAGCTGTTCTGAAGTACAGTGTGTAAGTCAGAACCTACCTACCAGCTGTCATCCTGAGGGGAGCAGGTTTTCTGTCCTGTGACTCCAGTTTACACCAGAGAGCATCACTCAGATGGTCGGTTTCTGACTGTCAGGCTAAGGGCAACTAAGGGTAAACTGGAATAATAATGCACTCGCAACCAGGTAAACTTAGATACGCTAGTTTGTTTAAAAATTATAGATTTACTGTACATGACTTGTAATATACTATAATTTGTATTTGTAAAGAGATGGTCTATATTTTGTAATTATTGTACCGTATTTGAAATGCAGCAATATCCATGGGTCCTAATAATTGTAGTTCCCCACTGAAATCTAGAAATTAGCATTTTTACTCAGACTACACAGAAGTAGAAATAGAGCCAATTCTCATTTATTCAGTGAAAATCTTTTGGCGGCAAAATTTTGAGTTCAAAAGAACTTGACACTATGGAGATTTTTCTAAAACAATGGAGTCACCTTACTTAAGACATGCCAGCTGACTCTTCAGTCCTGCCTTCGGGCAGAGTTCTAGTAGTGTGCCCTTTGGTCCACCATGGGTTGCAGCTGTCCATCTGGCTTGCTTCACCTTACTCACCCTCCGCTAAGTTGAGGACAGAGCAGGCCAAGCTGGCGACTCTGATCCTGGGGATTCACAGCTGCCTCCACCCCGCCTCCCCCCAGGACAGCTTTGGTTCCTGGTACAGAAACAATGGCACAAGTGAATGAAGTGCCCTGCTCTTGTCCCTGGGGGACTGGGATGCTGCTTGTCTTAAGAATAAGGAGTGATGGGGAGGAGGGGCAGAGGAAGCACATTGATAATCCGTAGCATAGAGTGTTAGGGTCTGTATAAAATGTATTGCTGCCTTTTTACAAAACATTGCCGTACTGTGTGTTCTCTTTGAGGGCTTTTATATGCAATTGAATGAGGGCTGAAGTTTTCACTGGAATGCACTCACACTCCGATTGTACTTCCTGATGAAAACCCACTTTTGGATCATTAGAACCATCAAGGCTTCTTTTTTGTTCACAGAACTATGCCGACATTGTCAAGTTACCTTGGCAGGGTTTCCCTGCAGTCAACAAACAGGTAGCAAATTTTGGTTCAAAAATTTTAAATACATAGACAAACTGTTAATGTCTTTGTTTTTTTGTAAATAACAACTTTGTTATGAAGACCTTACAAACCTCTTCTTAAGACATTCTTATTCCAGATCCAGGCAAAAACACATCAAGGTTTGTAAATGACTATTTCCTGACAAATTCTTTTTTATTAAAATGCAAAATGATCTTCAGAACAAACTGTGTAATAATTTCATTGTACCTGGGAGCTTCTCCTTGTAAAGGGTGCCTGCAACATCTGCAGAAGAGGCCAGGAGGACAGTCCTGTCATGAGAGGGGAGTTGCCACCCTCATGGCTCCTTCGATGCCCCAGGTAACTCAGTGCCAGCTTCTCCTTCAGGGCCAGCATCATCACCTCCATCACTGCCGACTCCATTCTCCGGTGGGTACTGGTTTTACTGAGTGACTTATTATCAGTAGAAAACTGTCCTGCCCAGATGTAGCTTTCTCTGGTGTAAGTAATGATCTTTTCAGCCAGTATCTACAAACCAGCTTTTGTATGGGCTGCATCACTTCCCTTTGCTGTGTGCTTTAAGCCTGGTTCAACCTCTGGTCTAACGATTTTTTTTTCTTGGTTAAGAAAAAGTTCAAGTTGTGGAACATAGTTTTCTTCTTTGTTTAAAGATTTAAACTTCTCTCATTTTTGGTTCCTTTCCTCACCCCTAAATAGATGTAATTTTGTTGTGTCCCTAGAAATGGTCCATCTAGTTTTCCTTAGCATTGTTTTCATGTCACAAGATAAAAACGGCAGCTACAGTTTAACTGAATCTGCAGTTTTCACCTAGACTGCGGGGCTCCTGCTAGTCAGGATGTGCTTCCCAGCTCTGGTCCAAGATGTTTCCACATCAGCCAGGGCAGGGAAGGGTGGATTGCGACAGCCCCAGAAACTTCTGTGATTTTTCCCCACTTGATAAACCCAACTGCTGTTGGCCCTAAGCTTGTGAAAGAAACGACAGCAGTTTCAGTTGTAGTTATAGTCTCAAATGTGTGCAGTTGCCCATGTTCCTGAAGAGGGGACTATGATGAGCAGTTGCTGTATCCTAAAACTGGTTAGTGGTAGAGGTGCTGCCTGGTACTTACAGCTTCCTTGTTAGCCTATCCAGAGTCTCAGACTCCAACTATGCTGTCACTTGTTGGAAGGGTTTCTTCTCCACTAGGGACATGAGCAAGGAGCCCTTGTTTCCAGCATGGAGCCTGTGGGGACAATGGCAGGTTCCCGGGCCAGTGTCTGTGGCGGGGGTTCATTTTCTGGTCATTAAGAGAAAAGCATCCCTGTGTTCAGTCAACTGAATAGGAAACTGCCTTTGTGTGGAACATGGTTTGGCTAGAGAGAACTGATTTGAATTTATCAAAATGATGTACTGGAAGCAGAAAGGCTATATGTGAAAGCTCTAGAGCCTTGTTTCAGGGACCCGCCCTTTCAGGCTATTCCTACACCTGTGTGTTCTGTCCCTCATTTGACCAGGAAGGGCCCTCTGCTGATGCAGCAGCTTAAACGCGCTCTCTTCCAAGGGCTCAGTGTTCCGCAGAGCCTGGCTGCTCAGCACATACGCAGCTTCCTGTTATGCTCTTCAGCCGTGTTTTGAAGAGTACACTGTTCACTACAGGCTTCGTGCTCAGGGGCTCACCTGACAAAGTGCCAGCACCTGTAGGTCTCTATGTGCCCCACGGGCCAACTAACTACAGCTTTGTGTCCCCAACTTGAGTCAGCATTTTCACTCTCACCCCCACTCTGGCTCCTCAGCCAACAGCTCTGTCTTTGTGGTCAGGGTGACTCAGGACAGTGGGGCCTTCAGTCCGCCATGTTGTCACTAGAGCCACCCTTCCACTGTGTCCAGACAGCAGCGGCACCCCCATCAGGGCTGGTGTGAGCAACTGCCTCAAGTTAAATATTAAATATGCTCTTCTGTGTCCAAATAGCTTGGCTTCTCCTTTGAAACTTCTGTCTGTAGCCAGGTCATCTGATGGAGGGGACTAAGTGCCAGTAGGCAAGGGTGGGGGGGTGGGCTGTGTGCAAGCGAACGGTATGTGCATCACGTCGCCTAGCCTACAACACAGTGACAGCAAGCCAGCTGTTGTTGCAGAGGCTGAGACACCAGAGAGCACAGCGGTGGCACAACTGAACAGCATGTCCTGGCCATGCCCACCCCAGAGAAGCAGGTGAGTGCCCTGACAGGCCCAGGACCCCTACACTGCTGACTTAGGATTTCTTGGCCATCAGAGCAGTGGGGTGGCACCCACACTCTGCTATTTCCTCCCACTGACAGGTGATGATGACTGTGAGGCAGGTGGGGAGCCTCTTGAGGAGAGCTCTTGGCAGATTAGAATTTTTTTCTTGACCTTCCCTTGGAACAGAATGTAAAGAAAAGCTAATATTAAGCAAGAGCTGCCTTTTTAAAGGAAAGGAAGAGGTAACAGTTCTCTTCACCTTCCTGGAAGTTCTTTCTCAAAAACCTAAGTTGCCACCATCAGGCCTCTAAGCCACGTCAATCCACTCTGATCCTGAAATGCCCATGTTCCTCCCCTCACTCTGGGCCCAGCACTGCAATACTCTTCTTCCTTGCCGTGGATGGTGGTTTTGGAGAATTTTCCGAAAAATCAATCCAAAATGTATTTGGTTTTCATTACCTTGTAAGAATAACATGGACAAAGCATCTCAGCTCAAAAATAAATTCTTAAAATGTAATAATCCAACCCAAGGAGCTTAAAGAGCTGATTTAAATGCTACTTGACTCCCCCTCCCCAATACTCAACTCTGTTTTTCTTCGCTCAACTGCGTTTTTACAGGAGCAGCGTGCACAGATTTACTTGCCTGTGCTGTGTCATGGCTCCATCCTGGTCCGTTCCTGTGGACATCTAGAGAATAAGGATTCTCCATCCCTGGCCATGGCCGAGTGTCTCCGAGGTGGAGGAATGTGCCCTCTTGGACTAGCTGTTTCGCATGGAGTGCTGGCCGGTATGTGGGGGTTTACTCTGGGTCTCTCTGTTCCCTGGACACAGAACAGCGTTTAAAGTGCTGCGTCATGAACGAAACTATGATAGCAAAGAGTTCCTTGTGACGCTTACCTCCCTGAATAAAGTCCAGAAATCATGTCAGTGGGATCATGTTTAATCAGCACCAGGCAGTGGACAGGTGGGTCACAAGCCCCTGGGGGTGATTCCCCCCAAGCACCTATTCTTGCCTCACTCTGGGAGTGAAAGAGGGAGCTGAGGAGGGAGGAAAAGGCTGTGTTTCTTCTAGCAGGCGGCTCTCCCTCTGAACAGGGAAGCCCAGTGCAGGCCCAAACTGAGCATGACTTGTAGGCTCAGCCGGAGGTCAGTGGTGGAAGGTGCCTGCCTTGGAGAATGCAGTACAGGTCGAGTTGTGCACAGTGCTCTGGCTCTGACAAGCCTGGATAAGGCATTTCAGGGCTTGTCTTCTCGGGGAGGCTGGGAGAGGTCCAGCAGGATTGAGACAGGCAGCAGAAGGAAGACCCTGCGTGGGAGAGCGCCGTGGAAGGGCACTTCCACTGCCCTCCAGGAGGCAGGGGCTTGCTGGGAGAAAGAAACCTGGAAATGAGTGCTGGTCTCATTTCCTTAGACAGTTTCAGGAATGAGCCTTTGGAGCAAGGCTAGGCTGGCCGCTTGGCTCCTCAGGGCCTTGTTGGGCCGTGGCTGCGTCAGCGCTGAGTGGCCAGGCTCCCAGGCTTGTAGACAGGGACATCCTTGTCCTGGAGTGCTGGCTGGCCCTTAATGATGTCAGCTGCCTTCTCTGCGATCATGATCGTGGGGGCATTGAGGTTGCCACTGACCACGCTGGGCATGATGGAGGCGTCGACCACCCTGAGGTTTTGCACCCCGAGCACCCTGGTCTGTGGGTCGACCACAGCAGTGGGGTCGGAGGGCTGGCCCATCTTACAGGTACACGAGGGGTGGTAGGCACTGTCCGCTTTTGCCCGCACGAAGGCATCGATCTCTTTATCTGACTGTACATGGCTTCCTGGCTGGAGTTCTTTCCCCCGGAATGGTGCCAGGGCTTTCTGTGCAAAAATTTCTCTGGTCAGCTTCACACACTGACGGAAGTCCAAAATATCATTTTCTGTGGAGAAGAAACAAGTACAGTGACTCCTCTGATCATTCTGGCTTTATGGGAAGATTCTCAGCAGGGAGAGAATCAATTAGCTGCCTGAGGGGACACAGTTTGAGATAGGGAGGTCTGAACCACCAGGTAACTTATCACCTACCACAATCCCATGCAGTCCAGAGACATTGCCCTGGATTTAAATACACAGTCTGGATTTGTGTAAATAAGGCTAAGTATATATGCTGGGAGCACCTCCTCAGACATTCCTGGGCGATGCCTGCCAGGAGGGACGTGCTCATTTTTGCTGCATGCAAAGAGGAAGAGGTAGGTCCCGGAATGTAATTCACTGTTAGAGGCTGCTGAGAGCACCAGTGGGGAAAGATGCAAAGTGAGCCCTACGTTCCCCTGGCCCCTCCTGGCAGACTGGCCTGAAGCTGCAAGGTACCCCAGGGTACTACGGAGCAGGTCCAAGCTCAGAGCCTAGAATGGTGGGGCGGGGCAAGAGCAGAGGGTGATGTGTCTTTAGAAAATGTGATCTGAGGTGAGATTCAGGGCCAGGAGGCACACCTTCAGTGAGGGATGCCACAGGCCTTGGGAGACTAAGGTGGGTGAGTTACCTGTTGACAAGTAGTTGGGCTGGATCACGGGGTGGTCCTGGGGGTTGGCACTTCTCAGTTTGAGCCAGCCCACACTCGTGCCCCGCATGGTCCCCACGTGCACCTAGAAGAACCCCGAGAAGTAGTGACTCCCATCAACCCCTGGACACTGAGCAGCGGAGAGGGCCCCGAGCCTCCTCCCTTGAACTGGGCCCTGCTTCTCCTTTCCATGCTCCACAGGGTCTGCTTCACTCCACCCCTGGGCTCCCCATCCTGAAACCCTGCTTCGTGGGCCACTGAGACGAGTGCTCACCTGGTAAGCGTCCTCCTGTGTGGGGGTCCGTCCATGGTCAATCACTTGGGATGGCAGGAAATGGAACTGGATGTCTGGATGGGGGACTCCGGGCTGGCTCCGGATGAACCCGCCTGTTTCCAGATGGGCTGTGGCTCCGTCCCCTGAGGGTGGGAAGAAAATGGAAGCGGATGAGCAAGTAGGGTGGGCAGCTGTGCCTACTTTCCTCTCCTTTTCCTGGGTACCTTCTCTAGTGCCTGAACCCCAATTCTCAATTGTTTCCCCCCAAGTGAGCGAAAATATCAGCTGCATGCCCAGAATCTTTAGCTTTGCCCACTCAACTGTTAGTCAGGATGGAAGCTCATGAGAAGTGGATGCAGGGCTGGATTCAGCCAAGTTTCCTTCTTCATGCAACCCAAGCTGTTGTTACCTCACCCTCTGACCACTGTAGTTTTAAAGTCAACCTTCAATCCACCTCACCTGGTTTGCCCAGATCTCCTCTTACCTGCTGGTGCTCCTGCCTTCACACCCAGCTGGCCCTCATGGTCAAGCCCAGACCTCCCCACCTCAAGCATTAGTTCTCCAGACACCACATGTCTACTTTCTCCTGCCTCTCAGAACCCCTACCACCATTCTCTAACATTCTGGTCTTTCCTTCACCTAAAACTTAGCAGATTTACTTGGTTTCTCTCCATTGTCCCCACTAGAATAAATATCACCTTCAAGCATTCTCCTCTAGCACAGTATGTGTGAGAAAGAGATGCTGAGTGAATGAGCACTTAACGCACCATTTCCTGGCATACAAAATGCAGAGAAATGGGTGCTGGCAGAACAGTGTCCCCTTTGTGCCTTTTCTCCTAGCTCCTGAACCCTGGATGGTACCAGCACAGGGGTGCTGGTCCACCTATGAGGAAGAGCAGCACCAGCCTGTCAATCAGGAACTGGAGAGACTGAGGTAAATGATATAACTCGGCTTAGAACAAACAACCTGAGGCCAGAGTCCTTCCTTGGCAGCTCAGGAAGGTGAGCGCCTCCCCCCAACCCTTTTGCAAGGGCCTAGCGGAACAGACCCACCTGTGAACTTCCAGAGCCACTCTAGACCAATCCGGACCTTGTTCAGGGGCTTCTGTGCTGAGTGAAGGGTAATGGGGCGGGTGCATGCCTGCTGGATGTATATCTCCAGGTGGTCTTGCAGGTTCTGGCCAACTCCTGAAGAGGGAGGGTAAGAAAAATGACTAGCCATGTCTTACATACTTCTCCCCCCAGGATGGTTCTTAGAGCAATCCAGGTGGCCCACTGTCAACCCCATCGAGCCACACCCTCCATGAGGGCAGGGCCCATGCCCAAAGTGTGGCACTAATGGCAGCCCCACCTGCCGGCAGGCTCATAGGAAGATGCCACAGTTTAGCGGCACAAGTTGCAGCCCCACTCCATGCTAATACAATAAACCATTTGATTTAGCAGACACAGCCTCTGGGGAGCAGCGCAGAAAGGGGCTCACCAGGAAGGTGGCACACTACCGGGATGCCCAGTTTCCTCAGGTCGTCTGCATTCCCAACCCCCGAGAGCATGAGCAGCTGTGGAGAGTTGATGGCGCCTCCACTCAGAATCACCTCTTGGCTGGCATATGCCTGGAAGGAGCAAAAGGTCATGTAGGAAGCGAGATGGAGCCCCAAATGGTGTGTGGAGGGAGAGGTGTGTCTCTGTGGTGGAATCACTAATAAAGTGTGGTTCTTAGCCTGATACAGTGCAATGGTCTTAAAAACAGGGGGATAGTACTTGAGTGCCATAAATGAACACGGGAATTCAAATTAAGCAAGACATGCACCAGACTCCAGGGTGGGAGAGAGGACAGTCCTGGCGCACAGCACATGGGTGGCTCACGACCAGGCTGATGGTCCTTAGCTCCTTGGTATGGACGGGGAGTCGTGGAGGCGCAGGCCAAGGGCTTGTGCTCCTTGCTGGTCGCTGCACGGAGGCTTTCTTTCCTCCTATGAGGCCTTGGGGATAACAGCCTCATGCCTTGCCTTTCAGGCCATTGTCTCTAGCTGCACCCTTGTCGTCACTGTGCTGACAGGGGTGAGAGCATGACAGCTGAGGTCACTGCCTTGCCCCCATGGGAATTTGCTCACCCTGTGGCTCTGGCCATTCTTGACATACTCCACACCCACTGCACGGGTGCCTTCAAACAACACCCTTCTCACAAACGTCTGGGCCTCGGCAGTGAGGTTGGGGCGGCTTAGTGCTGGGTGCAGGTATGCACAAGCTGTACTCCAGCGTTTGCCTGCAAGATACAAAGGAGATTAGGTGCAGGACCTGACAGGGGCTAGAGAAAATGAGAATTTGCCTGTCCCCTGACTCTGCAAGTTCAAACTTCAAAAATAAGCTAAAACCACCCAAATGAAAAAGTCCTATCTACCTACCTGGATAAAGGTGGGAAACAGCCTTCACCCTCAACATGTGATAGAAACGAGCTGGAGCTGTTGATTAAAAGGGGTGAGAACCCTGCAGACATGGGATCCCTGGGCCAATGCTGGCTTTGCCTCAGTCCTGCTGTAAACTAGGCCTGTTACTGCTCTACGCCTCAGTTTCTCCACCTATAAGTCTCTAAAGGATTTGGGCTCATTAGCCAGAGAGCTGACTCTCCATTAGTCACACAAACTGGGGTGGGGGTGGAGGGACAGGGAATGCCAGAGTTGTCACCATTTCAGAGTCATTTCTCAATAGCTTTGGGTTGGATTCCTTGGCCTACAGGGGAGTGTGGTGTGTCCCATCCCCTCAACCTCATGTTGTCCCAGTTTAGCCACCCTTATGCACATGTCAGAGACAGACAGGATGGTCTTTGGTAGAGAACAGTTTTTAGAAGAACCTAAGAGAGAGATGGGGCATAGCCTCATAACTACCTTTATGGATAGTCATGTCCATCCATCCAAAACCTTCTTGCTGGAAGCCGTTCATGTCCTCAGTGAAGGGGTAGCCAGCCTGCTGTGCCGCCTCCAGGAATGCCTGGTGCAGTGGGTGGTTGGTCTTGCCCCGGGATACACGCAGTGGCCCCTCACCACCACGGTATGTGCTGGCACCCAGCTCATGCCCTTGAGCCTTGCGGAAGTAGGGTAGGCAGTGTGCGTAGTCCCAGCCTGCGGCGCCCTCTTGGTGCCAACGGTTGTAGTCCTCAGCATGCCCACGGATGTAGACCATGGCGTTGAGGGAAGAGGAGCCGCCCCAGACCCGGCCCCGTGGCCAGTACAGCACACGGCCATCCATGCCTGGCTGTGGTTCCGTATGGTAGCACCAGTTGTACTTATCATCGCACAGGTTGGCCACGAGGGCAGCAGGCATATGGATCTTCCACAAGAGCCTCTTGCTCCCTGCAAGCTTGTCCTTGGGTCCAGCCTCCAATAGCAGCACACGCTTGTCAGGGTCTTCCGTGAGCCGTCCAGCCAGCACACAGCCAGCAGAGCCCGCACCCACTATCACATGACTGTATTCATCTCTACTTCTGGAGCTCACGCTGGCCAGAGTGCGGACAACTGGGAGCTGCTGCTGTCCCAGGATTCCCCATGTCAGGGCTCCAACTGGGCCCACACACCCTTGCCTCCAGCCTCGCAGGATGCACCACATGCTTCCAGCAAAAGACTTCTTACATTCACGGAGGGGAGTGGAATAATTCACTTTTCCTGCAACAGGAAAAGCAGCTTTAAAAATCTTGACTTAGCTGGGCCCTCCCTGGTGGCACAGCGGTTTAAAGCACAGCACTGAGAAGCTAAAGCCACTTCCGCATGAGTTCGAATCCCGCCTGCCCCGGAGGTGACCGCATGGCGTTGCAGACCTCCCCTGGCCCGCCCGCTGCTCCTTTCAGTAGTGTACTTCGTAGATCTGCCTGTTCTGTACCCCACTCTGTCCCTGGTGAATCCTCTCACCCTCTGCATCTCTGGCCTGTACCCCAGTTCTGTACAAATAAATAAATCTTAAAAAAAAAAAATCTTGACTTAGCATGTGCATGCAGAGTCAGCCTAAAGCTGGAGCAGCCATGCCAGTATAGCAAAGGTTTCCCTGAAAGTTCAAGTGGGTGGCCACCTGGGGTAGGGAAGGGCAAGCCTGACTGCTTTTCCCTGCTCTGGGGAGCTAGGAAGAGGAAGTAGGTGGAATCTGAGTCTACAATACCAGGATTGAGAAGCACAGGGCTGGAGGAGAGAGATCCTTCTCCAAACCTAGTGGGAATCCCTCCATAAAGGCTTTCCTGTGTGATTTATGCATGAATCTAGAGGCTGGGCAGGAGTCTGTCAGCTAGAATACAGGTGAGATAAGGGGGCTGCAGATGGAGAGAGAAAGCAGGGCCCCTGTACTTATTTCTCATCTATTCAAGATGATTGTTGAGCTCATACATGACGTATAATGTTTTGGCTCTAGAAATACACAGAGAACAAGAAATCTGCCTCAGAACTGATGGGTCTGGTGCAATGGAGACAGTGAGGACTGAAGTAATTGAAATAAGATCAGAATAAGAGATTCCAGACTTCAGAATTCAAAGCCTTTGACCCGAGGCCATGGAATCCTCTGTAGGGCTTTTTGGCAGGCAATGAGCTTGGAGCTACAATCTTCAAGTGTCAATATTTAGAGTGGTGGAGTTCTAACAAGGAAATGCCAGTAGTTTTGGAGACTCCTTTCACAACAATATTCAAATCACTTCCAACCAGTTTAGTACACATAGGTAAAAGAATCAGGGTATCTAGTCAAGTCCTCTTCCAACATAAGAACATCTAGCAGAGCTTCACCTCTAAGGCTCAGTAACACAGGCCTATCCAGGACTGATGCTGCAACAAGTGAGAAACCAAGAAATTGCAGATAAATACTTTTTCTCCCCTCCATAAGCCTGCACCAACTAACAGCAGGAGGCTGTCTCTGGATACAGGGTAAAGGTCAGAGTACAGAGAAGAGTCCTATCCCCTCCCCTGATGCAGGCACAGAAGAAAGAGGTATCAGGGCTTCCCCAGCTAAATGTGAAGAAGGGAGGAACACTGAGAACCCCGGTGCCCAGGTCCCACACTAGCACAGGCAGCAACAGATCACCACTCAACTCCTAAATACACTGAGTCAGCATTCCATAAATGAACTGAGAGGTAAAAAGGCATACCTTGGTTTCTCTAGTCTGCTATACATAGGTCTAATGTTCAATAAAAAATAGAGAAAAAAGCAAGAAAAATAAAAGATTCATTACAAAGAGATAAAGCAGTTAATAGAAGCAAACCAAGGAATAACCCATCCAGACATCTAAACTATCAGATATACCTTAAAATAACCAATTTTAACATAAAGGGTAGCCAAAGCAATTCTGAGAAAAGTAATGACATCACAGTTCCATATTTTTATACTGTAAATCTATAGTAATCAAAATAGTATGGTGTCAGACTAAACATAGACACAGAACAATGGAATAGAATTGAGAACTCAAAAATAACCCATACTTTTATGGACAGTGGACATAAAACAAAGATGCCAAGAGTGTACAGTGGGGGAAAAGTGTATACCACATGCAAAGGAATGAAACTAGATAACTATCACACACCATATGCACTCCACAACTTCGGATTCAGGTATGTCTTTGAAGACTCAGTGGTCAGGCAAACAAAAAAGTTAGAAAAATGTGCTACATCAAGCTAAACAGCTACACAGTGACAGAAACTACCATTAAAAGAGAAAAAAAGGCCCTCCCTGGTGGCTCAGCAGGTTAAAGCACAGCACTAAGAAGCTAAAGCCAGTACCTCATGAGTTCGAATCCCGCCTGCCTTGGAGGAGATCCACATGGCGAGGCAGACCTCTCCTGACCCGCCCGCTGCTCCCCTCAGCAGTGTAATTCGTTGCTCTGCCTGTTCTGCTACCCTCTCTGTCTCTGGTGAATCCTCTCACCCTCCACATCTCTGGCCTGTACCCCAGTTCCGTATGAATAAATAAATAAATCTTTAAAAAAAAAAAAGAGAAAAAAAAAGCTGTCGAATGAGAAAAATTGTAATTCATACACCTGACAGGAGGCTGATATCCAAGATCTATAAATATCTCATGCAACTCAACAAAAAGAAAATATTCCAATGAAACATGGGTAGAAGAGCTAAATAGACACTTCTCTGAAGAAGACATACAGATTACAACAGGCACATGAAAAAATACTCATCACTACTTTTGGTCAGGGAAATGTAAATCAAAATCACAATGAGATACTGCTCACATCCAAGAGAATGGCCTATAACAGAAAGACTAGGAAAGATTGGAAATAAGTGTTATCAAGGGTATGGAAAAAACAGGAACCCTCATTCACCATTGGTAGAAAGGTTTATTGCATTAGCATTAGGGAAACTGTATGGAGGTTTCTCAAAATACTTAAATGTGCCATATGGGGAGCCTCCCTGGTAGCACAAGGGGTTAAAGTGCAGCACTCAGAAGCTATCAGCAGTCACTGCAGCATCCCCAGCAAGGGAGGTGATCCACATGGGAAAGCAGACCTCTCTTGTCTCACCTACTGTTCCCCTCAGCAGTGTGTTTCAGTTCATCTGCCCGTTCTGCTCCCCACTCTGTCTGGTGAATCCTCTCACCCACCTCATGTCTGACCTATACCCCAGTTCTTGTACGCATAAATCTTTATAAATAAATAAAGGTACCATATGATACAGCAATTCTACTCTACCTATCCATCTGAAGAAAGCAAAAACACTATTTCAACAGGATATGTGCACCCATCTGTTCACTGTAACACTACAATAGTCAAACTTGACTTGTAAACAACCAAGTATCTAATGACAGATGAGTGGATGAAGGTGTATGAATATGTATATTGTAATTGAGTACAATGGAATACTACTCAGTTATAAAAAATTGAATGATTTTCATTTGAGATAATGTGGATGGAACTGGAGGGGATAATTCTAAGCAAAAGCAGAAGGGGAAAGACAAGTAACAGGTAGTTTCACATATATGTGGAATACAGAAAAACAAAGAACCAAACCAGTAACAAACCCAGAAGTCTGATTGTAGAATTGAGTTGGCCAGAGGAAGTGTGGGAGAGTGGAAAGCGAGGGATGGAGGGCTAATAGACTATGATGGAGGACTATAGGTGCCTTGGTAGTGGCTGTGATGTGGTAAGATACATCTGAAGATGTGTGATCTCAAACCTCTGAATCATATACAGTGTTGTAAGCCAATGTTATCGCAACACAAAAAACAGCAAAACAAAAGTGAAAAAGAAATCTCGGTACAATCGTTGTCAAATTTCTGAAATCTCACAATAATGACAAAATCATCAAGGCATTCAGACATACCCCCCCCCGCCCCCCCACCCCCGCTGCCAAAGAAACATTATATGAAGAAGAATAAACATAAAAGTGACAGCTAACTTCTGATCAGAAGACAGTCAATCCAAAAGATAATGGAATGACAACTGGGGAGAGAAACTAAAAAAAAGCAGTAAGCATAGAACTCTCTAAACCCAGTGGGTGTATTTTCAGATATGAAAAAGAACTATGTCTTCAGAGAAACAAAAGCCAGTGGGCCTGCAATTCAAGATATGTGAAAGGAAGTTCTTCAGGTAAAGGAGTATGAAACCAGATGGAAATTTTAATGTATACAGAGAAATGAAGAGCAATAGAAATTATAAAGACTGTAGATATATTAAGTTCCATGGCTGTTATAACAAATTACCATAAACTTGGTGGCTTAAGACAACACAAATTTATTCTCTTACTGTTCTTGAGACCAGAATTCTGAAATCAGGTTCACTGAACTAAAGTCAAGGTATAGGCAGGATGGGTTCCTTCTAGAAGCTTCCTGGGGAGGATATGTTTCCATACCTTTTCTAGAGTTTGGGAGCTAATGCATCCTTCCTTGTACTACTACAATCTGTCATGGTATCTCCATCTCATTAGGACACTTGTGATTACTTAGTAATTGACCTGAATAATCTAGGACCATCTCTTCATCTAAAATTTTTAATCTCACCTGTAAATTCTTTCTTTCAAATTAGATTAACATATTTCCAGGCTCTCGAACTAGGATATACATACCACAACAGGCCACTGTTAACATACAGTAGGTAACTACAGTATCATTTAATTTTTTAAATATAATTGCTAAAGCAAAAGTAGTAAAATATATTGTAGGGTTTATGATAGCATTAAATTGCATATACCAATAGCATAAAGAATGGAAGGGGAAGAAACAAGTATACTTTTGCAAGGGTTTTAAATCATACATAAAGGGTATAATATTTTATGTATGAAAGCTGTGATTAGATAAAGATATATATTGTAAATCTTGACACAGTCAACAAATCAAGTAATTTGGAGATAAAAATCATTTAAAATACTCAAAAGTGGTAGAAGAATCTGGGGACAAAAAAAGAGCAAAGATGGCCCTCCCTGGTGGCGCAGCGGGTTAAAGCACTGCACTGAGAAGCTAAAGCCACTTCTGCATGAATTCAATCCCGGCCTGCCCCGGAGGTGACCACATGGCGTGGCAGACCTCTCCTGACCCACCCACTGCTTCCCTCAGCAGTGTACTTTGTAGATCTGCCTGTTCTGCTCCCCACTCTGTCTCTGGTGAAGCCTCTCACTGCCCCTGAGCCTCTGGCCTGTACCCCAGTTCTGTATGTACAAATAAAATAAAATCTTAAAAAAAAAAAAGAGCAAAG